ATCTTTAAAAAAAAACATTGGGAACTGAGGGTGTAAATCAGTTGGTAGAGTATTTGTCTAGTATGCAAAAGGCCCTCGTTCAACCCCACAACTACATGAAAAAAGGGGTGAGGGTGTGTTGGTGCAGGTAGGAAGTTCAAGGTCACCCTCCACTACACAGCAAGTTCAAGTCCATCCTGGGCTTTATGAGTATGTCTCAAAAATGTGTGTGTGTGTGTGTGTGTGTGTGTGTGTGTGTGTGTGTGTATACATACATAGACAGTGAGATGATATAACTTTTGTCTCTTATTCTACTTATATGTTGTGTATTATACTAATGGCTTTATAAACTTTGCATTGCTAAAATAAATTCCTCTTGATAATGGTATCTAATACTTAAAAACTTATAGATATATTAGTTTTTTGAGCCAGGGTTTCTCTTGTAGCCCTGACTATTCTGAAACTCACTCTGTAGACCAGGCTGGCCTCAAACTCAGGGATTTACCTGCCTCCTGAGCTCTGGGATTAAAGGTGTGCACCTGTGCCGCCACCACCACCACACCACCACCACTGAGCAAAATTTATGTTCTTTTTGTTATATGTATGTGTATGCCACATGTGTGTGGGTGTCCAAAGAGGAGAGAAGAGGGCATCTGTGCCCTGGAGCTGGAGTTACTAGTTGTGAGGGCCTGACATGGGTGCTGAGAACCAAATTCTGGTCTTCCTGAGGAGCAGGAAGAGCCTTAACTATGAGCCATCTCTCTAGTCCCAGCATGCTACTCTGGATATGTTGATAAATGCGATTTGTTAGGTTTGTTGTTGCCGTTGGGGATTTTTGCGCCCATATTCATGAATATTGGTGGTTTTCCTTTCTTGGAATGTCCTGCCTGGTTTTGAGCTCTCTGCCATTCACTATCACCAAGACTTCCCCAGCTTTTGCAGCTTCACAACGTGTTTCCTTAAGTCTTTCTGCTTGGGAAACAAACAACAAATTAGAAAACATCCTCAAGAGTAGAAGCTGACCTGGTGCTTCTTTCTCCTAAGGATTCTGTTCCCTCAAGTCTCAAGATCTCTGTATCGGTTCCTCTACAAAGTGGATACGCTCTTTTTTTTTTTTTTTTTAATTAAATGCCAAATGCCATTTATTGAAGGAGGGAGGAGGTCTTAAATATGGGCTTACAGCACAATGGTAGAACCCTGGAGGGCAGAAGTTCACTACTGATATTTTACAGTCTTGTATCTAAGCTGTTAACGCCCATTATGCAGGATACACAGACAAGGGACTTCCCTTAAGCATTCAGAAGGGTGAAACCCGGGAGGGAATTAGCATAGGGAGGATATCAAGGTCAAGGTCAGCAAGCAAGGCAACAGTTACCCAAAACGAGGGCCAGGGCCCTACAGGTCCCCCTTTTACTAAAAAATAAGCTTCTGACTTAGGTTGCATGGGACGTCAGCAGGTCACCTTACCCGTCACAGAGACGCCTGCCCAGGCCACACAGGCACTCTGTCTTAGGTTGGTGAGCGCCCCCCAGGCATTACCCATCTCTGAATACTCATTATCATACAGGCTCAATTGTGTGTGAGCTGCAGAATTAATTGTTGCCAAAGATCTCAAAGTGGCGCTGGGCTTGCAATCTGTGTGTTCGACACAGAAAAGACCAACAGAAGTCCTAACCCACCAATAGCCAGTAGGCTAAAGGCAACTAAGCCATGTGGATACGCTCTTATTGGTCACATTTTAGGCAAGTTCTGAACCCCTCTTCAACTAGGCTTCAATAGAAGCCCCTGTTCTGCCTTTGGTCTGTCCAGCCCAGTCTTAGCAAGCATCCTTCTTACTCTAGCAAGAATCTTCCTAGCCTTCATGTGTCCTCTTAAGTTTCCATCTGTTGACTCTTTCACTTTGGTTTTTGGTCACAAATTCCTAGCTAGCTTTGCGGAATTCACAGCTGAGTCTGGTTTTTCAATGCCCCTTTGCAGAAATCTTACTGAAAGTCTTCCTTGCTGTTTCATTAAGTATCAAAATAATCTTTCCTTTAGTGATGCCCTCACACAGTTCTTTTATATATTTTTCATATTTGTATAGTTGAGGGTGGGAGAGTGAGCCAGAGTGAGGTGCTATATTATGTCAGGGCAAGACAGTGCAAAGGTTTCTCCATCTTGTTTTCTTTCTTCTCTCTCTCTCTCTCTCTCTCTCTCTCTCTCTCTCTCTCTCTCTCTCTCTCTCTTCAAGACAGAGTTTCTCTGTGTAGCTTTGGAACCTATCCTGGAACTCACTCTGTAGACCAGGCTGGCCTCGAACTCACAGAGATCCACCTGGCTCAGCCTCGCAAGTGCTAGGATTAAAGGCGTGCACCACCACCCCCTGGCTCCATCTTGTATTCTTGCTGAGGACATTTCAGTTTTAACTAGAATCTCTTTGATGAAGAATCCTGTGGAAAATTACCAAACTCTATTCTAGGAAACAACGGTCAGGATGTCCTAGATAACTTATCTTAGCTTCTGTTAAATTACCTGCTTGTGCAGAACCCCCTCCAGCTAACTGCTTATCTTAGCTTGTGTAAAATTGCTTGCTTACCTAAATGCCCCCACTCCACTCTCTACCCCTCCACTCCTCACCCTTCACCCTGCCCCCATATCCGTCTAGCAAGATGCCAGTAAGTGGTTTTTGCCTTCCAAATTTCCAAAATCCTGTGTTCTGGACACTCGGGCCATACCTAAGTTCAGGAATGCCTGGGTGTGGTCCTAGCCAGAGGGAATCAAGACTTAATTGTCTATAAACTGTGTCTGAGTGGTCATCTCTACTGTGCTACCCATAACAGCATCATGACTGAACCTATGTCTGCTTATTTCTGTAACAGGGATGCAGTGTTCTGAAACTTTCTTTTACAATTAAAAATAGTAATGGAGCTATAAGCAACAGCTCAGAGAAGCTACCAAGGAGGGTGTGGGCCAGAGAGAAGAGAAAAATGGTGCAAAAGCAAGGGAATTTTTAAGTGACAGTCAGCAGGGTAGGGAATCTGAGATGATACAGGTTTTCAGGATTGGTCAGGAACTAGGTGTCCTTGTCTGAGGTAGTTGACCTTTGGGGCAAGGTTAAGGTTAAGGGAGGTTCCTGGAGGATTTTTTCCCCCTCCAGACAGGGTTTCTCTGTGGCTGTCCTGGAACTCACTCTGTAGACCAGGCTGGCCTCAAACTCAGAGATCCACCTGCCTCTGCCTCCATGAGTACTAGGTCTAAAGGAATGCGCCACCACCTACCGGCAGGTTCCTGGAGGATTAAGGGAGATTCCTGGTGAACAGCAATTGCCTTAAGAGATATTCTTTACTAGTAATTGGAAACCTTTAGACTTACTCACCCAACAGCAACCCTCTGCTACCCCAAATCCTCCCATTTAGGACAATGCTACCAGCACTGCCATTTTGGGAAAAGGAGGACTTCAGACCTGACAGGGACTCATTTTATTGTGGGTTGTTTGTTTTGTTTTGTTGTTTGTTTTTTGAGACAGGGTCTCACTCTGCAGCCTTGGCTGGCTGAGAACTTGCTTTGTAGAGACAGGAATTCACAAGAGACCTCTGCCTCTCTAGTTCTGAAATTAAAGGGATTGGACACTGTACCCCTCCCTCTTCTTAGTTATTTTTAATTATTTATTTTTGTGTGTCTGTAGGTATGTACATATGCTGGAATACCACAGAGTGATTGTGGAGGTCACAGGACAGCCGTTGGTCTCTCCCAGGATGGAATTCAGGTCTTTAGTCTTAGCAGCAAGCACCTTTACCTGCCTAGCCATCTCGCTGGCCCTATGGGCTATTTCTACTTAGTTTTAGAGACAGGGTCTGTCTTAGTTAGGGTTTACTTTTGCTGTGAGGAGACACCATGACCATGGCAACTCTTTTTTTTTTTTTCAGCATTTTTTTTTTTTTTTTTTTTTTTTTTTTTTTTGGTTTTTCGAGACAGGGTTTCTCTGTGTAGCCTTGCGCCTTTCCTGGAACTCACTTGGTAGCCCAGGCTGGCCTCATACTCACAGAGATCCTCCTGGCTCTGCCTCCCAAGTGCTGGGATTAAAGGCGTGCGCCACCACAGCCCGGCCAAGTTTAGGACTCTTAAATTACTTGACATTTGTAAACCGGAAAGTTTCTCACCTAGTAATGAATGATTCTCTGGGTCCGTTTTACTTTATGCTTCTAACAACTGATTTATCTTGGGGTCTACTTTTTACTGCAGGGTTCAAGAAAGGCTCCCACATACTGACAACCACATAGCCACACTGCCTGAAAGGAGATTCACACCCATCAGCGCCTTTCCCATTCGTTTTTTGAGAGGAGTTAAGACAGGGTCTCCGTTTGCAACCCAGCTTGGGCTCCCTCTTGCAGCCAACTTCCTGCCTAGGCCTCCCAAACTGCTGGGATAGGCAAGAGCAGTTCTGGCTTACAGGGTGGTTTGTTCTGCATAGGAACTGGAAACAAGGCCTAGGAGAGGGCTGGGCAGGAGCCTCCACCACAGACATGGAAATGGAGGAGGAACTCGCTCTGCTCTCGGGGCGCGTAGTGGAGCCTGGACAGACCGGAGGGGTAAGGAACCTGCAGATCCGGGGAGAGATCAGTGGGGTTCCTAGCCTCTCAGCTCTGCTAGTGGGGTGTCCAAGGGTGGTGCAGCCATCGGGGAGGCTGGACGACATCAGGGCGTCTCCCCTCCACAAACTCCAGTGCCATGCCCTCGAGGTCCCTCCACTTCCAGCTCCTCCACCAAGGGAGGAGCGCGTCCTCGAATGGCAGCAAAGAGGAAGAGGCCGGTTGAACCCCGCTGAGACGACGGGCGCCGGCGGGGAGGCGCGGTGGGCGGCGGCCGGCGAGCACTCCGGCGGCCGCGCGGCTCCTCCTCCTCCCCCTCCCCCTCCGCCCCCCCCCCCCCCGCCCCAGCAACGCCGCCCTGCCGGTGGGCGGGGACGCGCGGCCGGAAGCGCCTTTCCCGGAAGGCAGGGAGGGGGCGGCGCCGGCCTCGGGGCGGCTCGACGATGGCGGCGGCGCGTCGGCCGCTCGCTCAGTGAGCGGAGCCGCGCAGCGGGAGGATGGCCTCGCTCGGGTCGGCCGCGGCCGGGGAGCCGGCGGCCGGGGCTGAGGCGGAGCTAGGTCCTCCGGCCCCTCCGCCGCCGCCGCCCGCGCCCGCGCCCGCGCCCTCGCCGTCCGCGCTCGGGCCGCTGCTGCCCCTGCAGCGGGAGCCGCTCTACAACTGGCAGGCCACCAAGGCGTCGCTGAAGGAGCGCTTCGCCTTCCTCTTCAACTCGGAGCTGCTGAGCGATGTGCGCTTCGTCCTCGGCAAGGGCCGCGGCGCGGCGGCCGCCGGGGGCCCGCAGCGCATCCCCGCCCACCGCTTCGTCCTGGCGGCCGGCAGCGCCGTCTTCGACGCCATGTTCAACGGCGGCATGGCCACGACGTCGGCCGAGATCGAGCTGCCGGACGTGGAGCCCGCCGCCTTCCTGGCGCTGCTGAGGTGAGCGGCGGGCGCGCGGAGCCGGTGGCCGGCGGCCCGGAGGGAGGCGGCACCCGGCCGGGCCGGCGCCCACTCCCGGGTGACCTTGGGCCAGGCGCGCCGGCCTCCCTCGGCTCCTCCCCGGCCGGAGATGCTCGGGGAGGTCGGCCAGTCGCTAACGGTGAAAGCCAGGGTCGTCATCCCAGCGGTGTGCGCTTTGCCGTTGAAGGGCGCTGTCACATTCCAGGGCCGGGATTGTCGCCCGGGCTTCAGAGTCAAGTGGGCAGAGCAGAGGACGGGGGCAGGCTGTCCTGATGGCCCACTTGCAAGATTTGTTTTTGTTTGGAGGACGGGCCGGGTAGCTGAAGGATCTTGGAGGACTGGTGTTTTCAGGTTCTTCGCGGTTTGATGTCAACACCCCACCCCACCCCCCGAAAGTAAGAGCCCTAACAGGTACTAGCTGACCTGCTTCGTGTTCCGGCAAACAAGGTGATATTTACTGTACCCTAAACCACCGCTGCTGGTGTTGAGAGTTTGCTTTCTGATGATTTGAGAGTAGGAGATTGATAGCTGTTTAGTTTTCTTTCATGGAAGGGAGTATCACTTTGGCATGATTAGTTTTTAATCGCAACAGTCCCGTTAGGGAGGTAGATCGTTTACCCCAATTTTACAAATGGGACAAAGGACCAGAAAAGCAACTCGCCCAAGATAACCGAGCCAGCTCCCAGAGGACCATGTGTGTTTCATTATACTAGGGTGGTTTTGGCTGCCCGAGTGGTGTGTTTTTAAGCTAGCAGAGTCTTGAGTAATTCTGACGTAAACAGGCAGGTCAGTGGAACAGAAGCGCCCACAAAGGAAGGCTCCCAGCTTCATCAAGAAGATGCGTACGGAGTGAAATAGCAACTAGAGATAAATATTACGGTCCCATTAATGAATGGATAAAGGACAAGATAAATAGAAAAGAGGAACTACAGCTAAAGAACCTTTAACCTCTTTAGTAAATTAGGAAGTGCAAATTAAAATAGTGAAATACTTTCTCCTTTTCATCAACCCCACCATTTTTTTTGTTTTGTTTTGGGTTTTGTTTTTTTATTTTCTGGGACAGGGTTCCATTATGCGGGCTTGGCTGACTTGGAGCTCAGTATGTATACCAAGCGGGTTCGGACTCGTAAAGATCCACCTGCTTTCAGCCCCCGGAGTGCTGGCCCACCAAAAAATTTTAAAAGATGGCTATAGGAACACTTTCTCACGAAAAATGTTCATAAAAAGCCTTTGAAAAAAAGTTGGACACCTTAGATTTCTTTTCCACACATAGGAAACATTGAAAAAATATCTACAGTAGCATTCTTCATAATAATGTGGAAAGAAGTCAAGCCGAGGGAATAAATTGTTTGATAAACAATGCTAGGTCCACTTGATGGACTATAATGCAATCACTGTGATGTTTATGAAAACCAGGTAAGACTATGGGGAATGTTTATGTTAGCATTTTGAATTTCCTGCACCATAGTAACGCCTGAGAAGGAATGGAACCAACGCTGTATACCTGGAGATAGGAGAGAAGGCAAACCAATATGCTAAGCAAGAGGTGTTGAATTGGAAAACCGACGGTACCTCTTTCTCTCTTTGTTCTCATAGTTCTAGCGTTTAATTCACTTTCATTTATGGGGATAGGTGTGCAGCCTCAAGGCTGTATCTGGGTCATTTGCATTTTGAAGTTACTGGGAGGACTAGATACAGCTTGCTTAAATTACGCAGTTTAGAAGTCTTTTTTAAAATGTTAAGGCCAGAGAGGTGGCACAGTGCAGACCTGAGCTAGATCCCTGTGAGCCACATGATGAAAGGAGAGAACCTACTCCTGCAAACTGTCCTCTGACCTCCATGTGTGTGCCACTGTGTACCTGCCTACATGTCCATCCAGGAAAAGAAATACAACAGAATGACTCTTTGGTCACCTGCACCTTGATCCACCGGGATGTTCAGTTTCTAGGTCTCTCTTTTTGGTGTCGTGTTTAGAGGTGAAACCTTACAGCGTTTTAAATACTTGTCCTAAGTGACTTTTACACTGGCTAAATTTGAGAACTATCGATCTAAAACCGTTAGGGCACCCTTCCCCCTCAGAGCACATCTTAGACCTTAACTTTGTCCTGTTAGAGCACAAGAGTACACTAGTGTGCTTTAAGCAGATAAACAGATGGTAGTGGTAAGGATAGACCAGGCAGGGCTTGACAGACTGAGAGGAAGGACTTGTGAGTTCTCATCTGGGGACGAGAGAAAAGTTGTAGAGGGTTTAGGTGGAGTGCTGTGATCCTATTTCCATCTTAAAATCTCATCTGACTGTTATTTGGAGATTAGACGGGTAGTAAAACGGAGCAGATGATAAATTAAGAGGTTTTGCTGTAGTCTACTCAGATGGTGGTGAGCCTCCAGGGAGGTAGGGGATGTGATGAGAAGTGGTCAAATTCTGGTTCTATTTGAGAGTAGAACCAGAGAAAGTTAAGAATGAATGGTAATGATTTAACTGAATGAAATTAACCTGGGAAAGAAGTGGATCGTGAAGAGAAGTACAAGGATGAACCTGGGGATCTGGAAGCTCGTGGAGATGTGGGAGGGAAGGGAGCATGAAACAGGAAGCTGTCAGGGGAGAGACGGAAGCAGGAGGTATCCTGAGAGAGTGGACCAACGCCAGCTGTGGAACGTGGTCAGCTGTGTTAAATGTCCTGAGGGTTGGGAGAAATGAGAGTGAATTCCTGATGATGTGATACGATGTACGCTATTGATAACCCTGGGGAGGGAGCACACAAAACACATGGAACGAACGAACATGCTCTTATTCCGGAGTCCTGAGGAGGAAGTTGTAGTTTTGGTGCTCCTTCTCGGCACGTTTCTGGTTTGGGGACCATGCCAGAGTGTTCTACCCCTTCCCCCTTGCGTTTCTTTACCAAAACTACTGTCTTTAGACTTCTCTCTGTTGACATTTTTCCTTCCAGCACTCATGCCACCCTGTGAGTTCTCTGAATCATTTAGGGACTTTAGTCTGTTGGATGAAGTTCAATACTTAGAGGTATTAAAGGCCTTTGTGATGTGTCCCCACCCAATTACTACTGGTGACATTTTCCCTTCCAAGGCCTCTTCTAACTGTACAGCCTCTACCTAAAAGACAGTAATCATTATACTTCAGGTCATAATTTGGGGCTTTCCTTTGTTGATTAAATCACTGTTTCCTTCCCCTCCGGGCAGATTTGTACACTAGCTCATTTAATCTCTCGGCCTGTTTTGGTTACATGTTACCCTAGAACAAACCACTCCAACACCTGGTGGTTTTAAACAGCCATTTCATTATCTTCAGAGCTGTATGGGTTGATGGGCTCTCCTGGGTGATTGTTTGGCAAATCTTTCAGATTTCAGACAGCATCTAAGGCTGGGGTCATATGGACGATTTGACTCAGATTCTGAGATGATTTTCTAATAATCTGAGATCTTCTTTTCCATGTGCCTTTTCCAGCTGGTCATTTCAGCAGCTTGATTTCTTGAACAAAAGTAGGAGCTGCCAAGTATTCTCAAAGTGTAGGCTCGGAGCTGACATTTGCTCTGCTACATTTTGTTGATGAGTAGTGAATGGGAATCATGTGAACCGACAGAGATCTATGTAACAGCATTGATGTTGGAAGGCGTGACTTAATGTGGGCCTCTTAAGTGATTAGTTATTTATATTAGTGCCTAATTGACACTTATGCTCTTGTGACATTACTTTTCTTTTTTCTTTTTGGTTTTGGAGACAGGGTTTTTCTGTAGCTTTGACTGTCTTGGAATGCTCTCTGTAGACCAGCCTGGCCTCAAACTCACAGAGATCCTCCTGCCTCTGCTTCCGGAGTGCTGGGATTAAAGGTGTGCACCACCACCACTCAGCTTTTTGTTTATTTTTTTTTGGGAGGGGTGTTACTTTTTAAACATTTCAATATCAAACTATAAATTTACACTCACAAAGCTACCTTACCCTTTCTGTAGCTCTGTTATTTATCACAATGCCTAATGATTTATGGTCCTTCAAAGAATGCTTTTGAATAAAATGGATCATTGGGATAAAAAACTCCTCAGGTGTGGTCTTGTAACCTCGTTTCTCCCTAATATAAAATCAAGTTTCACTCTATCCTTCCAAAACTGTTTTAATTCAGGGCTGGAGGAACAACTGAAATGGTAAAGTGCTGCCCTTGGAAACAGGAGAGCGTAGATCCACTTCCCAGAACCTGCATGAAATTGCCTGATGTGGCAGGCAGGTACTTGCAGTCCCGAGGCTGGGCAGGCTAAGGCAGGAGGACCCTGGGGCTCCCTGGCCTTCACAGGAGCTGGATTGTGTTCCAGAAGTCAGCCTCCACACACCCACCACATGTGCTTATAATTATTTTAATTAGCCAGGTGTGGTGGCACACTTGTCACCCCAACATTTGGGAGGTGGAGGCTTGAGGATCAGAAAGTTAAGGCCTGCAACTTGGCTACATGAGACCCTATCTCAAAAAAAAAAAAAGAAAGAAAGAAAGAAAAAAAGAGGTGTTTTGTTTTGTTTCAAGACAGGGTTCTCTGTGTAGCCCTGGCTGTCCTGGAACTAGCTCAGTAGACCAGGCTGGCTTTGAACTCACATGTGCTGAGATTAAAGGTGTGAGTCACCACTGCCTGGCTCAAATTTTCTTAAAAATTATAATAAATATAGCCTTAAATTTTTATCTTTTTGGAGACCATCTTTGGAGTGTAGGTAAGAAAACAGATATACTTGATGATGTACAGTCATTTCTCCGTTCTATGCTGTTGGCCTTGAAGGTTGTGTCTGGGAGCTTCTGCTGTCCCTTTAAAATACAAAGTGTTGGCCTGCACTATGGTGCTTGCTGTGCAAGCCAACAATCGGAATCGAGCATGTACAGGTTAAAGGGGAGAGCCAATTCCACACATGTGTCACGCACGCACACTAATAAAGTTAGAGAATTATGATCATGTCAGGGTTAAGTTTTAGTTGTGTCTTTCTTAGGTTTCCTTAATATGAAAATTCTACCAATTGGAGAGAGTTGCTCTTGTAGACAACAGGATTTGGTTCCCAGAACCCACATGACAGCTCACAGCTCCCTGTAACTCCAGTACCAGGGAATCTGAGACTCTTGTGGCCTTTGTAGGCTCTTATATCAAACTCACTCGGCCTCATATACATAAAATTTTACAAATCTTTAAAGAAAAAGAAATTCTACTGATTAAATATATTTCAGAGAACATATAAATGAAACATGAGCAAGAGGATTCTTGGATTTTTAGTAACTTTTCTATTAGAAATGAAAATACTACCCTATCCCCCTTGTTGATATAGAAACTTTTGCCTAGTCTGTTAACGTGTAATCGTTAAAATTTGCCCACACATTGTCTGGTACTGCAGGGGGAGAATTCCCTTATTGTTTACAATCCAGTGTTTACTTTAACTTGCAGTCTCAAAATAATTTAAAGCATCTTATAAGAAATCCAAGGATAAAAACCAAAATAGCACTAAGTTAGGCTAATACAAAAAAAGTATGTTGTGAACAAGCCACAGCATTCATTTGTAATTGTCTTAGCAACAGATATGAAAAAGGAAGCATGCTTGAGCAGTAATAATTCATGGTGTTTCTAAACTTAAAAACAAACTGCTTAGGGGATCTGTAACTCTAGTACTGAGAGCAATAATGAAACTGATGTTCCAGTTGAAGTGCTCTTATAAAGAGGATATTATTGTAGTAATGAGCAATGTCTGCAAGCTATGGCTTTAGAGACAGATGATTATTTAATGTAATAATGATTGTGTTCCTTGATATAAACTTAAGCTTATTACCGAAGTGAAATTTAATAAAAACAATTTGAATGTGAAAGATCACATGCAGAATAATCTAAAACACAATTCTTTTTTGTACCTAGAATGTAGTCACAGGTATTTGATGCCTCCTGCCTAAATTGGAGCCTCCAACATAGATTGATATAGAACCATATACTTTAGCTTTGTGCTCTTATCTCCTATCTTTCCTTCAATTAAAATGATAATAGGAAAGACAGTATGCCTATTACATATTGAACAGAGAAAAAAAGGAATGGCCAAGGTGTAGAAAACAGATAATGTACTTAGAAATTGTGTGGGTAAAATGAAGAGTCCTGAATCTGGAGCCTAGAGTCGCAGAAGGAGCTGCAGTGGAGCCGGGAGCTATTCTGGTAGAACCCCAGCTAGGAGTTGGTAGTGAAGAGGGGAGAAAGAAAGTCTAGTGCTAAGACATAGAGATTCATTTAAAGCCTCCTTATAGACTTCCTCAACCACGTACTGATGACAGCTGTAGGTTCCTCCAAACTTGAGCAGACTGCCTGGCAACAGATAGAACTGCTGCTGTGCTTTTGGAACCTCTAGGTAAAGCTCTTATAATGGCATGAGGGTCCTTGATCTCAAGGCTGGCTTCCCACTGTAAGGCAAGATGCTGGTCAGCAGCTTCCACATACTGGGAACTCCCACCCCAGGCTTTGCATTTGCAAGACATTTTTATCTGGATCTAGAAAAGTTGCTAACTACTGAATTTAGAGATATTGACCCCTTGACACACATAGAAAACCAGAATGTGAATGTGAGTGACAAAGATAAACAGAACGTAGGAATTTCAAGGAAGCATAGAAAAGAAGAAAACCTAAACATTTCTATTAAGTGTCTTGGAAACTTGTAGAAGTTTTTGTGTCCATAAAACAAAGACCTAAAGTTGTGGAGGGAAGAACAATCAGGAACAAAGCAGAATTTCTAGAAATCTGAATGTCATTGTGTGTGTGTGGGGGGGGGGGATAGAGAAAAGAAATACTCCAAAATACAGAGGAAGAAAAAAATTTCATGAGACCTTATATTAATGAACAGCTAACACTTACTCTGATTAATTTTTGTTGGGCTCTACTGAAAGTGCTTTATGTTTTAAATTGTGTTCATTCTCACTGCAACATTACAAATATGTGCTGCTATTTTCATCTCTGGGGAGTCACACTGGGATAATTTGCTTAAAGCCACATACCAAGTAAATCATGAGAACACTGGCTCCAACCCACACAATCTCTTTACCCTCCCCCCCCATGTATTATTGATAGAGATTCGGTTGAGTCCATGAATATGCACCATGTGGGTACAGCCCAACTGGATTATTACATTATGTTATTCCTCTAAAGCCCCAGCTCGCTAGTCTGTGGTCATTGTGCTGATTCTGGAATGACTATGAAAGGGTTTAAGGAATAAGAAGGTTCTGCTATCAAGAAATAAATGAATCTTTTATCATTTGGAGATGTGACCTTAGCTAACTGTAAATTTACTCAAGGGAATATCCTTTGATGAGGGAGACATTAGTGAACTACTGTTCTTGTAAGCAGCTATGGAGTACTAAAAAGAGCCGAAGTTTCACTTAAGGAACATTTGTTTGGCATCTGTCTCCTGAGCACTACTTAACCTCCTCTGAAAATGGAATTACTTTGTGCCTCTCAGGAATAAGAATATGATGTCTGTATAGGTTCATCTTACTCTGATGTAAATTTCAGGGTTTTTTTTTCTTTTGTTTGCTTATTTAAAGGTTAATTCTGATGGATTGCTTGTCTAAAACAATGCTGATCATCTATTTAAATTTTTTCATTGCTTTTCAGATTTTTGTATTCAGATGAAGTTCAGATTGGGCCAGAAACTGTTATGACCACTCTTTATACTGCCAAGAAATATGCAGTCCCTGCCCTGGAAGCACACTGTGTAGAATTTCTCACCAAACACCTTAGGGCAGATAATGCCTTTATGTTGCTTACTCAGGTAAGTAAATATAGCTAAAATAGTTGCTTAAAAACTGAGCATAAGCTGGGTGAGGTGGTGCATGCCTTTGCTCCTAGCACTTGGTGGAAGTGTTACAGCTTGGATGGAAAGTTATCCTGGTAGTCAAGAGCCAAGGAATACCAAAAAGTCACACTGCACAACAAACCTTCCAGGAGATTTATTGGGAAGGAAAGACCCTGGAGAGTGGCTGCCTCTGCTTGGGTGAGACAAAGCAGAGAACTAGGCAGAACACAAGGTTTATATAGGGTTTCTTGAGGTGGGGAGGCACGGGGAGTTTTCCAAGGTGGCCTGGGATTGGAGGGATTATGTAGCCTGATCTTGGGGAGAGTCAGGGATTCGTGGTTTTTTTTGTTTTTTCCCCCTGTAGGGTGGAGCCTGGCCTCTGGCCTGGGAATGGACAATTAGGGCCCTTAGGGAAGTTTGGGGATTGGGGCCTGGCCTGGAGTTCCTCAGGGGTCAGGCCCAGCTCAAGGGGTCTCAGCTGCCAGAGGTCTCCAGGGGTAGGGCTTACAAGGAGTCTCTGCCCATCTGAGTTTGAGGCCAGCCTGGTTGGTCTGCAGAGTAAGTTCCAGGACAGCCAAGGCTACACAGAGAAACCCTGTTTCAAAACAACCAACAAAACAACAATAAAAACTGAACATATTTATATATAAATATTAATAATTAATATTAAATTATATATAAATATTAATATTACCTGGATAATTCTAGATCATTATTTTAAAGTATGTAGTTATTTTTGTATATATAGTTATTTTGTGATTATTTGGGGAAATATATATTTAAGATTTTCTGGACATCTTCATTTTCAATTTTTGCTGAATCTGAAATAAACATTGAGTATTTAATATCAGAGAGGTTCTAAGATTGACTATCTTTACTTCTGTGCCTATGACTGGAAGCTTCCTAACCCATTACTGGAGCAGTTATGGTATTAGGTTTATATGAAATACTTTTTGTGCCACATTAAGTACAGTCCATACAGAAAAGTACACATACTGTAAGTGTGTAGCTTGGTAATGTTTTTATAAACAGAACATAACTAAAGGACCATTAGCCATCCCTAACATGTATTATTTAGCATTTTGTTAAGTGTTTGTAATCTGAACTTTTTTGATGAAAATAAATTATTTCTCTTTTTAGATAGTGTTGTAATACTTTATATGAACTTTTTAAAATTATGAATAGATAAAATAAAATCCTGCCTGACATGATGGCACATGCCTTTAGTTACAATACTCAGGAAGCTGAAACAGAAGGATTATTTTGAGTCCAGAAGTTTGAGACCAGCCTGGGCCACATAATGCATCTATGTGAAACAATATATATTCTTCTTGAATTTTTGTATTAGAAATAATTACTGGTGACTCCTAGGTCATTTCTCATTTTATAAATGAGAATTAAAATCTGGGCAAATTAACTGCCTGTCTAAAACCTCACAGTAAGTGATGCCAGGGCCCAGAGCTCTCATCTTTACAGTTGTTTATTGGGTGTTTTAAAAGCAGACTTCTTTTATTAAATATTTGTACTTGAAGAAAGAACTTGCTGATGTCACTCTTCTTGGACATAGTTACAGAAATCCACATATGCCAGAGACCAAGCTAATAATAATAGCAGAATGTGTTGGGTAGTGACTGTTGAGTCAGATAGCTTTCTTAGTATTTTATAGGTATCAATTTAAGCCTTATTATAACTTCATGAACTGTTGCTATTCGGAGTGGAAACTTATTTACCATTAAGAAACTGAAAGAATGAGGAAGTTTAGGGAAGGGGCAAGGCCATGTGTTCAGTCCTAGGGGTGGGCAGAAATTGAGGCAGAGGTGAAGTAACTTAACCAAAGCCATGTAACAAATGTGTGCTATGTACTACGTTAAAAGAAATTTAGATAAAAGTATCTAATAAATAAGTTGATTCTAAGATTGAAAAGATTATTGTTCAAGGAGTTTAAATGTATTGGAGCAGATTAAGTAACAACTTTTGTTGTTGTCATTGTTTTTTCAAGACAGGGTCAGGGTTTCTCTGTGTAGTGCTGGCTTTCCAGGCTGCCTGGAACTCAAAAAATCCACCTACCTCTGCCACCCTAGTGCTGGGACTAAAGGCATGTGCCACTATGCCCAGCTAAGTAACAACTTTTATATTTCAATTATTGTTATTTATAAACCAAGAGACTAAAATCAGGCTATTATGATGCATTAAATTCTTGTTCATTGGGTCTGAGATGAGGCCTGAGAATCTGTATTTTTAATAGGCTTTCAGGTGATACTAGTGATTCTAGACCACACTTTGATTAGCAAGCATGTTAATGTGAGGGAGGGAAACAAAAGACTTGAGTTTTATTGGCCTGAGAACCAGATCATGTGAAGTTGGACCTCTCACGAAAGTGATTTAAAGTAAGCCTGATCATTCACTTGGATCTGTAGAAGTTCACTCTAAAACAGAGAGTTAGCATCTGCTACATGATTTATACAAAGAGCACGTTTGTGAATTATGACCAGAGATGGTGCTAAAGTAAACATTGAGAAACTTGAAGCAGCAGATTCCATACAGAACTCAGTACTATTGCTCATAGTATATTAAGGATTAAAAATAGTTACTACCACAAAAATTGTCCAAAACTCATGTTTTGCTTGATGAGCTGAGCCTGTGGGCACATGCCTTTAATCCCAGCACTTTGGGAGACAAAGGCAGGCAGATTTCTGTGAGTTTGAGGCCAACCATGTCTATTTAGTGAGTTCTAGTACAGCCAGAGCACATGGAAAGACCCTGCCTGAAAAAACCAAAAAATGAAACAAAAATCTGTTTGTTAGAGTTTCACTTTATAAAAAATGCACTAACTTTTCTTTAAGTATGTACATACTCTGGTTGTAGACTGGTTCCTGTACCAGAAAAATGTTAGAAAATTGGACCAGGTCAAAGTTACAAAACTGAAATCAGCCAACATTAGTAAATTAGTGAATATTGTATTAGTTTTGTATTTACCAAAACTAAAGTTATATGAGAATATCCTTATTCTTAGGAAATTTAAAAGCCCACAATATATGCAGCTTACTCTCATGACTCACTCCCTCACAAATGGTGTATGTATACACAGATTTGTATGGAGGAAAGAGAATAAACAGGACATAGTAGGTAACTTTTAGATAGGTAATCTGGGTATAGGATACATTGAGGGTGTACACACGTGCTATCCTTAAAACTTTCTATAAATTTAAAATTCCAAATTTTATGGGAAAATTACATGAAATAGAGTTAATATTATATTAACACCTTTTTATTATTTAAAGCTAAAATTAGCAAATTGACAAAGCAAATGAATATAAACAAGCCCAGTGTGTAATCTAATGAGAACACTGTTCGTTTGCATCTGAATTACTGAATCTGGTTGGAGACATGACTCATTGAAGTGCTCCTGTAAAATGAAGAGGACATGCATTCAGATCGCTGATACCCACCCACATTCAAGCTGTGCTGTGCGTGTCAGGGTGCATCTGTAACTCCAGCATTGATGGGTAGACAGGAAGATTCAGGAGACTCATGGCCAGCCAGCCTAGCTGAACTGTTGATCTTCAAGTTCAGTGAGAGACCCTGTTTCTAAAAAGTAAGGTGAAGAGTGAGCGAGGAAAGCATTTGACATCATCCTCGGCCGCTGTGTGCACATGAGTTTGCATCTACCTACACAATACGCTCATATATACTATACATATGTGCACACACATGCACAGAAACTCAGTTACTGAGTCCTTTAAAATTAATTTTGCTGGGGTTAAAGAGATGGCTCAGCAGTTAAGGAGCATTTGCTGCTCTTCTAGAGGACCTAGGTTCAGTTTCTAGCACCGAATGGTGTTTTAACCTAACTCCAGTTCTAGGGGATCCAATGTTCTTTGGTCTATGCGGGCACCAAGCACACACATAGTACATATATATGCATGCATACATGCAAATGCTCATAGACATAAAATAAAAATAAGTACATCTTTAAGAAAAGAATTTGACTTTAAGTGAGAACTTTGCAGTCATGCCAGGTTCTGGGTGTCATTTCTGGTGTGGTTAATTAGCTGGGTGCCCGGAGCTGTGGTGCTCTAAATTCTTATACCACTTCCTTCACAACAGGAAATGTTGACAACAACAACAAAACTGATCTGTTTTTATTCTTGACAGTTGATGTTCTAGTTACTGGTGATGGTAAGACTAAAATTTTAAATACTAGACTGCAGCATATCTAACTACTTGATCTTAGACAAACAAATCACATCACTGGACCTGTTTGGTGTGCTTTACCTAATCTAGAGAGTTTGTTTAGGATCGGACTAAGTAATACCTAAGAAAGTAGGCTGTAGTGTATATGCATAGGAAAGTAAAAGGAGCAAGATGGTTGATAATGTGAGTTCATTGCTCAGTGAAACATTAGTGTTCTTTAGCCTTCCATTTCTCATTGTCAGTATTTTTGCAAAATTAGCGATTACAGTTGTCTACAGTATCAACTTGGAATGTGCACAGCCTGAAGGTAAAGTAACTGAAAGTAAGATGAATTTTTTCTTGGTGTGTGTAGGCGCGGTTATTCGATGAACCTCAGCTGGCCAGTCTTTGTCTAGACACCATAGACAAAAGCACAGTGGATGCAATAAGTGCAGAAGGCTTTACTGATATTGACATAGGTAAGTTCCCGTGGAGCAAATGTTTACACTTTAGACACGGCCATGTCTTGTCAGCCTGGCGGGAAAACTGTGTCCATTAGTGTTTTCTCCAAATGATTGAAGGAATACCTCCTTATGAGTTGTGCTTCCTTTCATTTTAGTGAAAATACTCCTGAAAGTCCTAACTACCTCAGTGTACTCCAAAATGTACCAGATAACTAAGACTCTCACCATCTTCATGGGATTGTACTAGGGTCCTAGAGCAAGTAAAAAGAAGAGTAAAATGTGATTTGTTTTGTTAAATAACCACTAGCTAGAGATTTGTCAAGGAACAAAATATGTGAACATTAGGATTTAGCATGTTAATGGAGTAGCTAGCATGTAGCTGGAACTTTTGCCTGTCTAAGTAGGTATCAGACATGTGGGAGATAATGACTTGGCAACTGCAGAAAATAAGAGATATTACCTTCAATTGGGGTCATGTTAGGGAGATTACGGCGAAAGAGGTGCTGACAGGAGCCTTAAGGAATGGATAGTACTTGGACTAGGGATGGCTGAGTGGTAGATTACTTACTTCCCTGGCATGTGTGAGGCCCTGATTCCATTCCCAGCAGCACAAGAAACAAAGTTCTGAGTAGTGAAGCGGATAGCATTAGGCGTTAGAGGTAGGTGGTGCCACATGGGGTATGTGTGAAGTCAGGGAAGTGCTGGCACATTGTTCCGAGTGGCAGAGGACCAGGCAGTGACGGGCTCTGGGTTTGAACTTGGTTTTGTAGTAGAGGAGAGAAAGCTAATTCTCATAGCTTTAAACTATCTTTTTTTTTTTTTTTTTTTTATGGTGAACTGGAATTATGTGTCTTTAAGTCCCTCTCTTTTGGGATTGAAAGTCATATACCCTGTTGTCTGTTTCATTTGTAGAAATTTTTAAACATATTTTATACAAAACAGTCAAAAGAGAACTGTTAATTTCCTTCTCAGTGTTAGAACTCTTCAGTTCTCTTCTGGCTGTTTTTAGTCTTCACCAAGAAGTCCGATGCTCCAAAAATTTTTGTATTCCTTTCTCTCAGTCACAACAGGAAATGTTTTTTAATCTATTTTTAGACCAGATTGCTCAAGCTTAAACCCCAGAACTTAATCTTGATTTTTATTCTTTTTCATTTGTGCCCCACATGCAATCTCACACTAGGTACCCATGATTCCACATTCAAAACAAACCCTATGTTACTAGGTACCCATGATTCCACATTCAAAACAAACCCTATGTTTAACTGTTTCTTATCTGCTGCTACCACCTAATATAAGCCAGTGTTCTTTCTCATTTGGATAGCTCAGAGTGATCTTCATAAATAGAAAAATCAGCCTCTATTACTTCTGTTTCCACTGCAGTAAGAGTATAATTCAAACTTCTTACAAAGCTTAGAAAATCAGGCCCTATGGAAGTCAGGAAAGATTAGGCTTGGCTATAGTAACAAACCCCAAAGTGTATTCTGGCTCCAACACAAAAGCAAGGTCATTTTACATTTATGTAATGGGCCACAGAGAGTAATGTCCAGAGGTAGCTCTCAGGGTCTGATTACTGCCTGTGTCTTGCTAGTAGATGGTAGGGGAAATAACCACATATTAAAATACTTGGCTCTGAAATTGCTTCTTTATGTTGTCCTTTATTTCATTGTCCAGAATTCAGTCACAAGATCCACCTGACTTCAGGACAAGCTCGTATGTATAAGACTAGTCACTTTCTAAGACAAGGAAACAGAATTGTAATTAACAGCTCCTACTCAGTACAACTGCCTGGTCTTTTGCTTCTTGTTCATTCCTGTTTTGCTTCTTGTTCCATTTACACTGGACAGGTGTCATTATATTTCAAGCCTTTATATTTGTTACTCTTTCTGACTGGAATCCTTTTCCCTTGAATCTTTGTATGGCTACCTGCTTCTCAGCCCACAGGTTAACTGAGACAGACTAGGTCAGACCTACTTAATTAAACTAAATACCTAAACAAAATTCTTGTTTCTTTACTCTGATTTATTTTTCTCATTTATTGCCATTTGAGAGTCTTAACTAGGTATTCATATCTCTCTCTCTTCCTCTCTCTCTCTTTCTTTTTTTTTTTTTTTTTTTTTTGGTTTTTCGAGACCAAAAACTTACTGAGTTTCTTTGTGTAGTCCTGACTGTTCTGGAACTCACTCTGTAGACAAGGCTGGCCTCTACTTTACAGAGATCCACCCGCCTCTGCCTACCAAGTGCTGGATTAAAGACATGCGCCACAATGCCCATTGTGTTCATCTTTTTAAGTGTTGGTTGTCTGCTTTCCTCTCCTAGACTATACACTCCTGGAAGACAAGGCCTTTGTCTTGTTTCCCACGGTATTTCTAGTGCAGAAGACAGCAGAACATAGTACATGTCTGTTAACACCCTGACCAGAGCACTCGAGACAACCATGTAGTTCTCACTCAGCTTAGACCACTGCCGTGAGTCGTCTGAGATCAGACACCTTACCCTTTCCGGGATACCGAGTGTACTTCTCCTTTATAGTTGATTAGCGTTCCATTGTCGGTTCACCTGTTCACTTCTCAAGTGCCTTGGGAAGAATTCGTACATTGTGTTTCACTGAAGGGCAAAGCTAGTACACTGTCGAGTTGTTAATGAAGCATTGTTTAATCTTAATTGTTTCTTGTTAAGGGTCTGTCAAGTGCTCCATTTGTTTTTCATCTGCTCGTGAAATCATACTACCTGCATTACATGTGTGCTTTACATGTGGCAATTGTTTTATACATAGTTTTTATATTTTTCATGCCATTAGAGCCTGGGAATCTTAAAGTGTGGGTGTTTGCTAAGTAGATACCCTATAAATATTTGCTAATTTGTTTAACACCCAGTGTTGTATTATGTTTATGAATGACAATCTGTTGCATTTTTATCATCTTAGGCTCAGCTATGATTTTTTTAACACATTTGCCAGTAGAAGCCTGCCAGTACAAGGACCTATGTGTTCCTCCACCTATGTCTGTGTCATACTCCAGTTTGCTTGACATGTACTTGTTGAGTTTGGGAACTCTAGAGAAAGTATAAGAGCTGAGAGGAGAAGGCCCTGGCTTCAAGTTCTTAGAGCTGTCTTAAGTTCAGGGACTTTTTTTCTTCTCTAGGGTTTGAGCATGTGTTCCAGAAGAAGAGATATGCTATCTTAGGTTTTTGCTTTAGGGAGAAGATTCTTGGTTGAGTGGATGGAACAGAATGGACTTGGGCCACCAAGACAGCTCACTGGATAAAGTGTTTGCTGCTGAGCCTCGTGTCTGGAGTTTGAGGCCCAGGACCATGTGGTAGAATCAGAGAACCAGCTCCCATAAGGTGTCCTCTGACTCTCACCTGTACACTATGGTGTGTGCACACACACAGACACACACACAGTAATTGTAAAAATTCACATTGTGCCAACAAGAGCAGTGTGATCGGGTGTATCATACTCCAACTTTCAGTTTATTTTTAACTCAAGTTATTAATGAATTAGATTGGAGGTCTGTCTTTGTTGATTTTTTTGGAAGCAGAGTCTCACGCTGTAGGCCAGGCCATCTTGTAACTCACTTTGTCGTCCAGGCAGGCCTTGAACTTGTGGTGATCTTCTTGCTTCTGCCTTCAGAGCACTGGGATTATAGCAGTTAGCCACCATGCCCAGCTCATTGTATATTCTTTTTTTTTTTAAATGATTTTATTTTATTTTATGTGCATTGGTGTTTTTTCTGCATATATGTCTGTGTAAAGGTGTGAGAACCCCTGGAACTGGAGTTACAGACAGTTGTGAGCTGCCATGTGGATGCTGGGAATTGAACCTGGGTCCTCTGGGATAGTAGCTGGTGCTCTTAACCACTTAGCCATCTCTTCAGCCCTGTGTATTCTTTTTGTTTTTAATTAATTTTATTTTATATGCATTGGTGTTTTGCCTGCATGTATGTCTGTGTGAGGGTGTCAGATCCTCAGGAACTAGAGTTATAGACAGGTGTGAGCTGCCATGTGGATGCTGGGATTTGAACCCTGGTCCTCTGGAAGAGCAGCCAGTGCTCTTGACATATGAGGCATTGGCATCTCTCCAGTCCCTCACTGTGTATTCTTTTTTTGTTTTGTTTTTCGAGACAGGGTTTCTCTGTGTAACAGCCTTGGCTGTCCTGGATCCCGTTCTGTAGACCAGGCTGGCCTCCAGCTCACAGAGATCCACCTGCCTTTGCCTCCCCAGTGCTGGGATTAAAGGCGTGTGCCACCACCACCTGGCTCTCATTGTGTATTCTTAATCCAACAAATAATGAAGTATGTTAACCTTCACTTAATTGTGAAAAGCGTTATAGAGCCTTAGTTCAAACTCATTTGCTCAGCTACAGTGAAAATAAGAACAATTTGATGTTAAAAACAAAGAAATACTGGGGACTGCGAGATGGCTCAGTGAGTAAAGGTGCTGACCTTTGGAGTGGTGACCTGAGTGCCCAGACTCACATGGTAGAAAGAAAGAACCTACGCCCACTGATTGTCCTCTGATTTCCACGTATCATTTCCATACCATGACACCACCCCCGACAATAAATAATAAATACATGTCAGTTTTAAGACATTTTTGTTCAACCACATTTTAACATGTTATTGACCCCTACTTTGTTCTAAGGACTAATACCTTTCAGTGTTACCCACCCTTGATAAGCAAAATTTGACTTTTTAGTGTGAATGTATGGACTGCAGAAAGTTATTTTTAAAATAATTGTTATATGTCTTTCTGGATAATTTACTCATGTTTGAGTTGATTTCTGCTACATATAATATAGCATGCCTTTAATTTAAATTTAAAGTGTGGTCGGTGAGATGACTTGGTGGTAAAGATGCTTGCTGCCAATCCTGACAGCCCGAGTTTAAGGCCAGGCACCCACCTGGGAGAAGAGAAGAACTGGCCCCATTCCCAAGCTGTCCTCTGGCCTCCACATTCATGTAGACATCTGCACATGCACTAAATAAATGTAATTTAAAAATTTTAGATGTGACTT